GCCTTTGATACGATGCATCTCACCTTGCTGCTGGTTAAACTAAAGCCTGACGGCTCCTCGGAAGGGGCCTTATCACTGATGCACTCATTCTTTGAAGAACTTAAAGGAAGAACTAAATTAGGAACTGCGGTTAGTGAATGGAAAGAAATAAAAATGGGCTGTCCCCAAGAATCCAATTTGGGCCCGTTACTCTGGAATATCTGCCAGAATGATCTCTTTTACCTGAGTCGTGCGTCAATTCTATCAATGTACGCCGTCGACCATCAGCTTTATTACGCGCATAGTAATGTCAAGGACCTAATGGACACAATTAGGAGCGAAGGGGGTCAAATGTCATCATGGTACCAGGAAAATCACGTGGTGGGAAATAAGCAAATACCAAGCCATGGTAATCGGCAAGAAACACGAGCCATCCCTAACATCTGTCGACATCAATGGCCACACTATCAATACTACTGAAGAACTTAAATTACTTGTCGTCACCATCGACAAAGAGCTAAGATATCTCGGACCATATTTGTTGTCAAAACTTTTGTCAAAACTTGGACATAGCGACAGAAAAATGCTAACTCTGACATCATTCGTCTCAAACATCCGCACAAAAGACCTCATGAACCTAGTTTCAAATTACGTCTGTACAGGGAATTGTCCGAAGTGTGTTTAGAATTTTAGACGTATTTGAAGTTTGTATATAGTTGTATAGGTAGAAATTATTATATTTTAGTCCGTATTTTAAAATGTAAATGGAATTTTAGATCTGTATATATATATATATATATTGTAACAAGTGATAGCTAATTTTAACTCAATTAACTTAACTTAACTTAATTTATTTGTAATTTTATTGCGAGTGTCCCCTGATTAGTCGGCTTCCGGGCTGACTAGAAGTTTTAGACAGTTAAATAAAGTTTATTGATTGATTTATTGCGCTGCGTAAACAGGATATGGAGCATCGTGATGTATCATGGATACTTGGTCAGGATGGTGTAGAGGAGCACTGGATATAAATAATCCGTGTGGTATCGTTTATTGAAGGCTCCAAGCTTCAATAGCAAATTTATAGTGGTACTTACATGCTTCGTTCGCTACTTTTTAAGAAAGAAGGGATAAATTTCATCGAAATCAGGATAGGCTATAAACGTATAGGATTTCTATTGGTTTTATAGCCCCTGTGCATCTATGCTATTAGAAACGTAGGTTGAATGTTAAAACAAAAATATATGAAACAGTCTTAAAAATAGCGGTTGTCTGGAATACATTCTGCACATAGTCTTTATGTTAAATATATACACTCCGATGGTATCAGACGCTGATAAAATAGGGTCTATCAGTATCGGACTCAATTTTTTCTCTTTCTCAGATGGGATATTAAGCTAAATTGGGTGGCACCTCTTAAGTTTCATCTCGTCAACCGTGATCATTAACAATCGCTGATTATTATCAGTGATTGTCTGGAATCATGCCTCTGAAGGCGCACTGAAACAAAAAAGGAACCCTGACGGTTACAAATTAGTGAGTGGAATACAGACCGGGCAATGCTGTAAGTTGTTTTCAGGGTTTCCGACAAAAGCGGCACTTCACCCTCTTCCATCCCGTTCATATCACCATTGCCAGCAAAATCTAGCAAGAAATACAAGACATAACAAACTCATCTGTAAACTTAGTATCTAATTCCCTAGTTTTTGTTTCCTCTAAGAAAAGATCGAACTACATCTTTGGGTAATGCTTTAAAACAATTCTGGGATTATGAAAGCCAAGGAAGAAAAGAATAAGGTCACATTGATAGTTATTTTGGATTTGTTGTGTTGTGTGTAAGTTTGTGTTCATCATGTGCGTATTTACAATGTTGTATTTTTAAAATTGAGACAGTTTGAACGAAATCGTGTATGGCTCGTCAAAGTTGGTTAAACCGGCTGTTCTTTATTTTCGGCGAGAGAAAGTGGACCAGGAGATAAGGAGCAGAAGATGGAGAAAGAACACCTGGTTTACATGTAGCTACGAGAATATTTATCGGTCTTGCTAAAGTTATTTTGCTAGTGATATCCATTTGGAAGGGGTGACACTTTCTGTAATGCTGCATACATCGCTATACGTTCAGTGTTAATTTAATAACACAAGATAAAATAGTTAAGTTAAGTTGCCTGAAAGGTAAGTTAAAGACTAACATTAGAAACATTTCAGTCATTTCTTAGTGATGTACGAAAGTTCTGAAATAAACCTTTAGTTTAGCTTTCAGGAGTAGATGAAAGTCTCCTTATGAACCATCCATGAACAATTTAAGATCACATGAAAGCAAGCCTTAATAACCATTTCATGGACTTTAAGAATTCTCCTAAATCTCGTAATCTCGTCTTTAGTTGACCAAAACTTCTACTTCGAAAGGCGACTTAGAAAAAGACACATGCAAGTGATTACAAAATGTTTGAAATTGCATTGAAAAAATAATTTAGTTCAAAATTCAATTGCTTCCTAGATGAAGCAAACCCACAATGAAACTGAGGATATCGGGACTTGTCCTATTTGAGGCCCATACATAATTAAAAAAAAGAGATGTCCAATTGTTACAAATTATTAAATGTCATACTTTATTAAAACTGTTTCTCTTTCATCAGTGTATGATTCATATAATCTCAATCATGTAATGTGTAATAGAATTTTTATCACTAAAATACCCAGACTATAACTAGCTATTGTAGTTAAAATACACTACACAAAAGCTATTAATTCACATATTGTGCTCTGAAAGCGAGTGACTAAGAAACTTATTTTGAACTGATACAATAAAAATATAAATTAAGCCTATCATCTAAAAAAATCAGGATATTTTTTATAGTCCATCTAAAATTGTAATGGTTGTATAGATTATATGCTATTTCGTTATATATATATATATATATATATATATATAAATATACTTATTAAATGTAATAGCATACCATAATTACGTTAAAAAGGTTGTGGTTATTTATCGTGGTAAATAACAATAAAAGCTAAGTTTTTCGTTTGTCTCACGATATAGTCTCGTGTGATGTAGATCACGACGTTTCGACTGCATACAGCTAGTCTTCTTCATCATGCTTTATAAGATCACGCATGACCAGTCGACCTCATCGCCTGAAGAACACTAGCAGTATGCAGTCGAAACGTCGCGACCTACATCACACGTGACTACATCGTGAGAAAAACGCAAAAACTTAGCTTTTTATTATTATACCCTAATTACTTCCAGTAAATTAAAGCACCAACGGAAAATAATTTGCTTATATATTCTAAATGCAGTTTGAAACATAGAAATGATGTGTACAACTATGTATAGCATGTGGAGGAAATCAAATGTAAAATTGCAGAATTCACAATTATTCAAGATCACTATAAAATGGGGCGATAAAAATTTCCAAATAACATGTTTCATGAATAGGAGGCCTTGTACAGGAATGTAAAAGAACCCCGTTCTAAACTTGGCCAATTAATACTTTTTACTCGGTATTGCCCAGAGGGCAAAGTCTAAATACAGGTTTTGGCTTTGTTACTTTGTTGTTGTTGTTGTTGTTGTTGTTGTTTTTCTTGTATAATAATATGAATAGACTGTACATTTTCAAGCTGATTAATTACCAAAACAATAAGAGTTTTTTTCATTGCATTATTGCCCATTCTGGAATATTTTCAGTGGTTAGGTATCTCAGCAAAGGTTTCCCCATTAACCCTGGGTAAGATTCCCTCTTTAGCTCTGGTGGTCAGCTTTTTAAATGTAAACCATATTAAGTATTTTTGTTAATATTTTTCCTCTTTTTTCTGCTCTTCCAATAAGGTCTACCTACAGAGTATTTGGCTACTCTTAAGGTGTTGCCATCCCCATCATTTTCATATCATCTTTATTCAATGTTCATTACCTCCATTATAAGTAATTGGGTCGCTCTCCTCTTACTATGCTGGTCGGCTCAAAAACAAAAAAAATCCGGCCAAGTCAAACTCGGTCAAGAAGTATTTTAACATCTCACCCCTGTACATGACCATAAGTTATGAAAATTTTGGAAATTTTTTTCAACCTAAATAGGACACGATAGACGAGCGTACGTGAGATAATCACAACAAGATTCAAGATTCCTTTGATTTTTTCGAGTCAGAACAAAAAACTCACAGTTTTATTTTTTTATCGTGCTAATTATTCGCTGGTGTTATGAAGAGCATTAATTATAATTGATTGGTTAAACTTATTGTGAAAAGAATCCCGCTGCTGAAAAGCTCTCAATGTCTTCTGATTTTTAAGTTCCAAGCTGCCATTATGTCTGCGATCATAACAGCAGTTTTCAAAGCGACTATAGGATGGCTTGTGGATAAAGGCAGAGATGAGGCAGCGAAAAAGCTTAAAGATGGCGACGTAACAGATCAACAATTTCGCGGCATCATCGTGCGAGAAATCGATGACATGAAGTCAAAGCTGGATGGATTATCAAGGAAAGATTTGTTAGCGAGTATTAGCTTCTTTAGATAAGGAATCGAGTTGCTGTATGAAGCATTTGAAGAGACAAGGTCGAAGAGTGAGTATGGCGTGGATACAGCACAAGCGGCTTGTGCGGAAACTGTGTCACTCACTGAAGGCATGAAAGACTTGGAGCTTACTGAATCTGCTACAAGACAGCTTACCAATGCAAAGAAGAGATTCGAACGTGCTCGTGAAATGGCAACAATTGCTTTTTCAAACGAAGCGCTATCAACAACTGACCGCATCTTAGCAATGCAGTACCGAGTGATGGCAACAGTATTGGAAACAATAGACCATTCCCGCGGATGCTGTAGCACCATGTAAAGTGTGTATTGAAGAGTTAAACAGTTTGCCAGTGGTTCAGCAAAGTCTTCAAGAACAGCTCTAGACAGGAATCAAGAGTTTATTTAACAAAGAAGAACAACGGAAAGTTATTTCCGGAGTCTGTCTTGTCAATCGTGTCGCCTACGATGTCACACAAACAGTATCCCAGAAAGAACCATTGCCACAATGGCCCATGATTGATACAGGAAAAGAGAAATTTGATCTGCTGCGAGACAGGAGAGTAACAAAAATACTTTGTAAACAGGGTATAGAGAACTGTAGTGTATCATGGATACTTGGTCATGATGGCAAAGAGGAGCACTGGTTAAATAATCCGAGTGGTATCGCTACCAACTCAAGCGGGCATTGTATTTTAAAAGACTGTGGCTTGAAAATCAAGGTGTTTGACAACAGTGGCAAGTTTGTGCGACTTTTCAGACTTCCTCCCCTTATTGATGACAGCCGTAAAGAGCTATCGATTGACAGCTGGCCGGTTTATCTGGCCTCAGACATGAATAACAACATTTATGTGCTGGTCAAAGAAAAGTCGAGTCGCGAGCGCTGGATTTATAAGTTTAACGAAAGCGCTGAACAGCATCACAGGTTTCGTGTCAGGACAACGGAATTCGACTTTAAGCTGTGTAAACTGTTAGTCAGTGATAGTGGTAAAGTGGTGGTACTGAAGAGTGACAAAGAAATGGAAGTGACAAAGAAATGGTCTGTTGTGGATGTATATGAGACTGATGGTCATTTTGTTTGCAGTTTTGGAGAACAAATCTTGAGTTACTCGTACGGTATCACTGCTGTAAGTGATGGCAGAGTCATGATGGTGGAAAAAGGGGATCCGTCGTGTGCTCACATATTCAGCGAACAAGGTGACCATCTGCACAGTTTTAATCTGAAAAAGGCTCTAAGATATTTACAAATTGCATTTCACAAGGAAAGTAAACAAGTCGTCATAGCTGGTGTTAAGGGTATGATTTCAGACATCTTGTATATAGAAATAGATATCAATGATGGTAAGTTGATGCAAAGTATTTCGATCCATTTCGGAGAGTTCAACATAGCTCCGTTTGGGATTGCAGTGACTTCTGAGGGACGCGTTGCAGTATCGATCATGTTTGACGATTCAAAACCTGAAGTAATAATTATTTAAAAAACGTACTAATGTACTGATTTTCCCTTCTTGCTTTCACTTTTTGTTAGTAGACTAATTATTATTATGGATAAATTGGTGTTTTGCACAATAATCATGCAATTAACATAATAAGCACAATGCCCTTATTTTTCACACAGCATGATGTAACTTAAGACTAAAGTTTCATGCCTAAAGTGAAAGCTTTTATAGCCTCAATTTATTAACTTTTGATGCGCTATTATTTAATCGAACAGATGCGATGGAGTTTTGCAATTTTCATGGAAAATAAGTATTACATAATTAATCATGTAGGAACTTTATTGGTAGCTCCAGGCTTAGCTAGAGATATGATGCTTATTTGGCAACCAGCTCTGTGGTCCGCACCTCTTTAGATGTATTAATAAAATTCCACTTTGTAACTGCCATATAACTCCTTGTAATGCGAAGAAATAATTTTTTTATATCATGCCAAGGTGACACGTCTAATAAATACTCAGCAATAAGCTGAGATATTTGTTTGTTCTTGTTACCGTGTTTACTTGATAATGTATGGATATTGTAAGGAGAAGTCGAATGTGATTACCTTCTGTGAGTGAAAGTGTTGATATCCAGTCTCCCTTAAATGTATGTGCGTCATTTTTTATTTTAATCATGGTGTTCCTATCTTTCGATAATTTTAACATTAGCCTTTATCTGTCTTTTAAGCATAATGCGTGGACTGTTACTGCTGTGATAGGCCTAATGTTTGCTTAAGTAGTTTTAACACTTCTGCTTTCTTTTCGAATGTTTCATTAATCAAATTTTAGTATTTCATCAGGCTGTTGTTTCCTGCATGACGATTTTCAAACCAGACCAATTTCTGAGTGAACTTGGTCGCATGACAAATTTTAGATGGTTAAATATTAGTATGATCCTTGTAGATCAAATCAAACTTGTCAGTAAATGCTAATTATTTTATAGCTGGCGGAGCACGTGGGTGAGGTGATGCGAATCCTTTGCTTTGCTTGGCTACTCGAGTGGGCAAGAGTTCCATCTTGCCCACTGATGCGATGAAAAGTGTAATTTTTTTTGTATCTAGTGGAAATTAAAATATGGTCAATTATCATCAAATCTTACCACTTGTTGAATTTGTTCTTGTTTTCTCTTAGGTTCTTCTTTTTCGTATGATTTCGATGAACTTCGAATACAACTCTTGCCCCACAGCCTCCAACTTCCCGTACCACGTTCTCCCACCTCCCTTTCTTTTGCGGCCCTTTGTTTCCCAACTCCCGCCCTCTTTGTATTACTCCCGTCTCCAGTTTGATAAAAAGGACTATTGATTTAACAAATTCCTTTTCCTTTACTTTCAATTTTCGCACGTTGTCGGGAGTAGCTTTAGTCGTGAGCTATGTGAAAGTTGGCTCCAACTAATGATTCATAAAATTGTTGAACCGTTTGCATTTTTGAGCGTTCAAGCGCTGATAGACCGTTATTGCACATTATTCTTCGGCTGGTCTAGGAGATATATTTTAAAACTACTCGGATTTCTTCGAGAAGTCGAGGTCTTTTTGAAACCTCTCCGGAAAGATTTAAAAGTTGTTCATATATTCTCTGATACATTAATTCACTAGCAGTATCATTTAGCTTTGTGATTGTGTGAGTTAAAAAGAAGCATTTGCAGATGCGTGGTCTGATTTTTTATTGCCACATACAAAAATACTGAATAAAAGGGGGCAATTTTCTGGTGCTGCGTCGGTGGGAGAGTATAGAAGGTAATTTGGTGTTAACTACTGAGTTGAAAACGTAAATTGGCCACCGTAAAGAGTAAAAAGCTGACGTTTCGAGCGTTAGCCCCTGGTCCATCGCTCTGACGAAGGGTTAGCGCTCGAAGCGTCAGCCAATTTACGTTTTTAACCTAGTTGTTAGAACTAAATTGCCTACAAAAATACTAAGGGTGATCAATATGGCGACGACGACGACGACGTTTGACGTGACTCGCTTTGCTCGCTGGATAATTCCGACTGCTGACACTGTATACATGTTTCATGTTATCTCATTCACGACTTACGATGTAATTGACTTCGAAAGGTATCTAATATTGGCCTTTGACGAGAGCAATGTGCGAGATCTGAATGAAAATTTTAAACCAAATGACGGCACTGCGCGGGCGGAGGTGAAACTGTTTGGCACATATGATCTAAAGGAGAGTTGATAATACGCGATCCTTACTATGGAGACATTTCAGATTATGAAGTCATGTTCGATTTTGTTCACAGATGCTGTGTGGATTTTTTGAAACAGTGTTAGAGAAGAGAGCGACTTACTGGTGTTTCAATCACCGAGTCAATAATTTTAATGCCTTCGATTCAGACGCACTGAAGAGAAATACTAAGTTTTGAGGTATGACGACGGATGTATTCATTTATATTGTGAAGCTCTGACTGCCACAGCACCGCGAACAATGGACGAAACATCGAAACTGCAATATGTTTTATATCCATGCATGCCGGATTCACACACACAAATAAGGATAGACCAGAGCGCCATGCCATATACTTGAAGGGACTGTACATAAAGTCGATTTACTATCGATCTTCTGAATGTTTCATTTAAGGTCACTGCCAATAAAATCTGGTCAAAATTCTTTCAAGTTTCTCGTTTTCTTTCCCTTTTTAGATCGAGGAAGCTTTTAAGTTGTGTGCCCACCAAAACAAAAACTGTGACAACTTTGGCTATTTTCGGAATCTATACTTTATAAGCTCCATAGTGATGGAGCTTATAAAGTATAGTTCTTCATGGTTTGTTTTATAAGTACCGCGCTTAAGACGATTTTTCCAAGAGGCACCCTATTTTGTTGACAGTAACCTCTTTGAAAGTTTTGCTACATCAATTTTCTTTTCAAACTTTCAATCTTTAGCATCTTACGGACCCTTAACCGCTACGATGACCAAAATGAATGTCATAAAAAGGTTCAAACGACAAGGCTCATTGATTATTTCACCGCAGGCTACTGAACAAGAAACAAAAGCAGCGCCACTAATTTGTTTTCCTGTACACCAAAACTTTGACGACGAAACAAAAAGGAAAAAACCGCAGGATACAAGTTCACCGCAATAACTTAATTTATAATGATAATTGAAGTAAGTGGAATTCAATTTGGTCTGAAATCATACGCATGATTTGCCTTGAAATCACAAGTATGAGTCTAGACCAAAATTGCACGACATGAAGTTCAATTGCCACTTTATTGCATCTTCTTTGAAATCAGAAGATTGATTTATCATTGCCTATTATTCGTTTTTAAATTTTACCTAGCAGATATTTGGCAGTCTTCACAAAAGTGAGTTTTGCATCATGATGGCACAAAACATTGGAATGAAAGGTATTTCAGAGCGTTAGCGTGGCTGTGTTGATAACGAAAAAAGTTTGTTATGCACCGTGGTCATAAAATAGCTCTGTAACCCTTGACTGTGGATTCGTTTAATTAACAGCTCGTAGAAGCGGTAAACTAATTGAATGTGTGGCTAACTGAATATTTCTACAGTGCGAATGAATTCTTCGAAGTTATAATCAGTGCTGTTAGTACAAATAAACAGAGAACCGTACAACAAATCGCTTTAGCTGCTTCACGCTCTTTGATCTGAGGTAAGGTCAGTCGGCGCGAAGAGTCCCTAAGAATCTTGCACGTTCGGTTAGAATTTGCTAGGTTAGAACGATTTCGTAGCGTTGAATAACTGATCTGGAAATCAAACACGATGTTTGGAGAAGATAAAAAAAAAATCGAGAACGGAGTCAAACTAAGGAAGATAGAGTTAAACAGGTTGAGTGTAGAAGATAAACTTATGTACAAAGTAGAAATCAAGTGTATGCTGTTCAGTTGTAGCAAGTCAAACGTATCGTGAAGAGGAGCTAAAAAAACCGAAGTGACTTCCCATGGAGTAAGCGGGTATCCAGTAAAAAGAGACTGTGCTTTCTTCAAGAAGTTTGAGAAAAACCAAACTTGGATGTGTGCGATTTTGTTGACTCCTTCTTTATTTTGGGCAGAAGCACCGGAGCCGAAGCACTGGAAAGAAAAAGACGGATAATGGTTCTTGACATAATACTATTTAGTGCTGGCTGTGACAAAATATCAGAAAGCTACTTTTGAAACAACTGTGGTATGTGTGGCCTACAATGAAGTTCTAAGATCTCCTGGGTCGGCGGAAGTTTGAGCTGTAGATCTGATTGTCACCCTGGGCCTTAATGGTCATCGTTGTTTGAGTAAAGAAACTGGTTGCGCTTTACATAAGTATCTTTGTGACTTTAAAACTGAACTTGGAATCACTGTTGGAGAAAATACGCACCTACCCCTCCCCTAACCCAACGACAGTCAACTGATAACAAGTTAGGGTAAATGTTAGGGTAAAATAATCGAAAAACTTCATAAGTGCATCTGCGTTTGTGAGAACAGGAAACTGTATAGCATAGTCCTAATTTCTATTGAGATCCGCTTTGCACACCCTAAACGAAACCACAAGCTTCAAAATTGTCACTTAGGCCGATAAAGAAATTCGAATCAAATGCACTTCGTGCGTTTGATTTGAATTTTTTGATCGGCAGTCGTGAATTAACGATTAATTTATAGGAAGATGGGACGAAATGGCTGAGATGGGTGTAGAGTGAACAAGAAAGATTAGAGTTTGAAGTAGAAATGAAAGAAAAAGATGAAGAGAAATCGTGAAAGTTACCATGTGTTACCCTGATTCATTAGAGCTTTCAGACTTTGCCGCATTCTTACGCCTACAAGAAGGAGCTGACTTACCTCGGGGTGTTGCTCGAGGTTTTCTATTTGATAAAGAAAGAAATCAGGACAACAAAAATCAAAGGTAGAGTTAGGGCACCAGAGATGGAGGGTAATAGAGTACGAAAAAGGAAAAAAAACGGCCGTCTTTTTCAGGGTATCGGCCTGCAGAATCTTCAAGATTAAAAAAAAAAAAACAAAAAAAAAAAAAAGAAGAAAGGAAAGAAAATAAAGTCGAAATTGATAATAAAGTACAACAGAGGAAAAACTAGTATGCAGATCCAAAATTTAAGGAATAGGAAAAGGTTCAGCAACAGCAACAAAGATCTCTCCCAAAGTTCTGTTTGTTACAGTCACATTTTGTCATGCGGATTTTTCTCTTGTGAGGAAAAGAGAAAAAAGTAAAAAAAAAGAAAACTGACTGAAATTACAAGGAGATATTTAGAAACAAATTTCTTTCTTGCGAACCTTGGATATCACAAAATGGCATTGTTCATGACTTTCCTTAATAACATTCTCTCGATACAACGCGTGCAACTTAACTGTATTGAATCACGGTGGTTCGTTTTCTTCACATCAGCTCTTCAATAATCTGGAATGTGCGATCAGAATCTCACCCCTAGTCGCAAAGATGCGTACAAATCATGTAAAAACAGTATTGAATTTCGAAACTAGTGTCCTAAGAAAGACCAGGAGAAAAAAGAATGCCTTTTTCACATGACAGCTCTGGTTTAAGTTCCTCACTCTACCCAGGAAGGGTTCAAAATTTCTCTCCTCCCCCGGAAGACAGTCAAATGCCTGTGCGTTACTCAGCCGGGGAGAGGGGGGGATGTTGAAGCTTCGAAATGAGTGGAATCTAATTTTCCAAATGAAGCGCTATCAACAACTGACCGCATCATAGCAATGCAGTACCGAGTGATGGCCACAGTATTAGAAACAATAGACCATCCCGCAGATGCTGTAGCACCATGTAAAGTGTGTATTGAAAAGCTAAATGGTCTGCCAGTGGTTCAGCAAAGTCTTCAACAACAGCTCAAAACAGGAATCAGGGCAGTGAAGAGTTTATTTAACAAAGAACGCTGGAAAGTTATTTCCGGTGTATATCTTGTTAATTGTATCGCCCACGATATCACACAAACAATATCCGTTAAAGAATCATTGCCACAATGGCCCGAGATTGATGCAGGAAAGGAGAGAGTTGATCTGCTGCGAGATCGGAGAGTAAGGGAAATACTCGGTAAACAGGGAATGGAGAACTGTTGTGTATCATGGATACTTGGTCATGATGGCGTAGAGGTTCACGGGTTAAATAATCCGCGTGGTATCACTACCAACTCAAGCGGGCAATATATTGTAGCATACAATGACTTGACAATCAAAGTGTTCAACAACAATGGCAATTTTGTGAGACGTTTCAGAATTCCTCCTCTTATTGATGACAGCGGTAAGGTGCTATTAATTAAAACCTGGTCGTTTCCTCTGGCCACAGACACGAATGACAACATTTATGTCCTGGTCAGCGAGGAGAGTCGTATGGACTCAAACTGGATTTTTAGGTTTAACAAAACCGCTGACCAGCATCACACGCTTCAAATCAGGAGGATGGGCTTCGACTTTAAGCTATGTAAATTGTCAGTCAGTGATAGTGGTAAAATGCTGGTACTGAAGAGTTACTGTAAAGAAAATTTTGGGATTGTAAATGTATATGAGACTAATGGTGAGTTTGTTTGCAGTTTTGGAGAACAAATCTTGAGGAGCCCGTACGACATCACTACTGTAAGTGACGGCAGAGTTATGGTGGTGCATAAGCGAACAAGGTGATTATATAAACAAGTTCAATTTGCCAATGTCTACGACCTATCCAAAAATTGCTTTTCACAAGGGAAGTCAACAAGTCATTGTGGCCGCTCTTAAGGAATATAATTCAGACCTCCTGACTAAACTAATATGCACCAAAGATGGTGAGTTTGTGCAAAGTACTGTTATCCCTATGGGAGAGTCCGTTATTCTGGATGGGATTGCAGGGACCACTGAGGGACGCATTGCAGTACTAACCCAGCATGAAGATGCAACACGCCAAGTAATCATTATTTAAAAATGAATAAAGGGGTAAGTTTCTAAAGAAACTGTGGTGCTGCGTCGGTGGAAGAGTATAGCAGGTAATTTAGTGTTAACAACTGGGTTGAAAACGAAATTGCTCTGACGAAGGGCTAACGCTCGAAACGTCAGCTTTTTTACCCTTTACGGTGGCTAATTTACGTTTTCAACCCAGTTGTTAACACTAAATTACCTGCATTATTTAAAAATCACGTTTAGTTTACAGACTAATCATTTTTAAGGATGGATTGGTACTTTGCAGCAATAATCATATAATTAACATAATAAGCAAAATGCCTTTAATTTTCGCATGCCATGATGTAACTTGAGACTAAAGTTTCATGCCCAAAATGAAAGGTTTCATATCCTCAATTTGTTAACTTTTGATGCGTTGGAATTTAATTGAACAAATGCAATGCGGTTTTGAAATTTTCCCGGAAAATAAGCATTACATCATAGATCATGTAGGGACTTTATTGGTGGCTCTAGGCTTAGCTTGAGATATGATGCTTTTTTGGCAATCAGCCTTGTGGTCCTCACTTCTTTAGATGTATTAATAAAATTGCACATTGTAACTGCCATACATCTCCTTTTACTGAGAGGAAATATTTTTTTTTATGTCATGGCAAGGCGACACATCTGACACAGCAATAAGCTGAGATATTTGTTTATTCTCATTACCTGTTTACTGGATAATGTATGGATATTGTAAGGAGAAGTTGAATGTGATTCTCTTGTGTGAGTGAAAGGGGTTGATATCCAGTCTCTCTCATGTATGTGCGTCATTTATATTTTAATCTTGGTGTTCCTCTTTTTTCGATAATCTTAACGTTAGCCTTATCTGTCTTTTTAAGCATAATGCTTGGACAGTTACTGCTGTGATAGGCCCAGTGTTTGCTTAAGTAGTTTTGAACACTTGTGCTTTTCCTGTCGAATGTTTCATTAATCAAATTTAGTATTGTATTTGGCTGTTGTTTTCTGCGTGTCAATTTTCAAACAAGACCAATTTCTGCAGTGAACTTTGTCGCGTTGGATGGTAAAAATTAGTATAATGATCCTTGGAGATCAAATCAAACTTGTCAGTAAATGCTAATTAATTCATACCTAGCAGAGCATGTGGATGAGATGATGCGAGTCCTTTGCTCTGCTTGGCTACTCAAGCAGGCCAGATGGAACTCTTGCCCGCTAATGAAAAAACGTAATTTTTTTTATCTAGTGAAAGCTGAAATATAGTCAATACTGGCAAAATTTACCACTTGCTGAATTTTTTTTTTTGTTTTCGACCTCTTTCGTTCTTTTTTTTTTTTTTTTTATGATTTCGTTGAATTTCGAGTACAACTCTTGCCCCACAGCCTCCAACTTCCCGTACCACGTTCTCACACCTCCCGTACTTTTGCAGCCCTTTGCTTCCCAACTTCCGCCCTTTTTCGTATTACTCCCGTCCTCAGTTTGATAAAAGGACTATTGATTTAACAAATTGTTTTCCCATCATGTTAAATTTTTGCTCTTAGTCGTGAGCCATATGAAAGCTGACTCCAACAAATGATTCATATCACTACACGTCCACTGTTGAACCGTTTGCGTTTTGAGCGTTCAGTTTAAGCGCTGATAGACCGTTAAAAATTGTTTTGATCGTATTGTTTTAGTTTTACCGCCAATTCAAAGGGCCTACTATTAATGAAAATTTGTGAGCGCATGTTGATTTGTTTCCAAATTTCGCTTAAAGGCTTGCGGCTTGATGGCGGGGCGAGAAAAGTACGAAAGCCCGGTTAATGAAAAGAAAATTTCAGACACGGCTACTGTATCATTTAACTCGCTTAAACGGAGATCTATTTCACTCGCTTGCGTGCCATTTTTACTCAGCGCTGAGCTCGACACAATTCGTTTCGCCGGAAAGATAAGCGAGTAGAGAATGGAAATAACTTGGCCTATTTATTCAATGCAAGAGTCTTTCGTCGAGCAGTAGATCAACCTCGTGATTACATGACCCCATTGTCTTGTTCATTTGATCGTCCCAGTCGTTATCTTAAATATACCCATCCCCAATACTTTCTTAAAGCCCTCACACAGTGCGAGAGACGGGAAATAATTAAATTTATTTGAACTTGGGAAAGGCTATGAAATTAAAGGTAGCCTTTCGGTTTAATTAACCTTTTCGTTTTCTTGCTATCAAAACTGTAAGTTGAACGTTAGGGCAAAAAAAAAACTTTTAAATAATCTTAAAAATGTCGGTGAGTTCAACAGATTATCACTCGGTGACCCAAACAGGTTGAAGATTGTTTATTTTTGGACAGATTAATTCGTGGCACTGAAGACACAGAAGTTAAACCTTGGCAAGTGAAAATCAGTAAACTGAATGAACACAAAGTAATGTAGCAAGTTATTTAAGAGTTTCTGACAAAAACCGCACTTTCCCCGTTCCTCCGCTTTGACATCTTTGGTGAAGGCTTAGTCCAACGAGAAATACATGCAGTAACACAATAGTGAATTACCCCCTCATAATTTTCTGTCATCTCTAATTTATGATAAAGACAAGTCTTTCGTTATCCTTTTAAAACAATTCTGAATTGATAAAGAAGAATGAATTATTATTGAATGATCATACTGATTTTTTTGTGTTGTTTATCAGTTTGAGTTCATCTTTTGAGTCACGGCACAGTTATGCATTGTCATCATGTGAGCATTCACATATATTGAGTTTCTAATCAGTGATTATGTTTAAAACCGTTTATTTCTGTTGTGACTATTTGAAGCTTCTGATGGACTGTTATTATTCTTAGACATACTTAAAAGCTGGTAACGATTTTGACCTGCCTCTTTCACTGTTTCGCTACCAACTCAAGCGGGCAATATATTGTAGCCGACTATGACTTGACAATCAAGGTGTTTGACAATAGTGGCAAATTTGCGAAGTGTTTCAGACTTCCTCCTCTTATTGATGACAATGGTAAAGAGCTATCTACAGAAAACTGGAAGGTTAAACTGGCGACAGACATAAACGACAACATTTATGTGCTGGTTGAAGAAAAGAATCATCAGCGTTGGATTTTTAAGTTTGATAAATCCGCTGACCAGTATCACAAGTTTCGCGAGAGGACAATGGACCTCGAGTGTAATCTGTGTAAACTGTCAGTTAGTGATAGTGGCAAAGTGATGGTATTGAAAGGAAATTATACAAAGGACTATCATTTTGTGGATCTATACGAGACTGATGGCCAGTTTGTTTGCAGTTTTGGAGAACAAAATTTGAAGAGCCCGCGAGACATCAGCACTGTAAGTGATAGCAAAGTTACAGTGGTGGACCAAACGCCTTCCCATTGTGTACACATATTTAGCGAACTCGGTAATCATCTAAGTAAGTTTGATCTCAAAGGGTTTGTTCACTTTCCAAACATTGCATTTCAAAGGGAAAGTCAACAAGTCGTCTTGGCTAGTACTGAAGATGAGAAGGAGCTCCTATGTATTGGAATATACACCAAAGATGGTGAGTTTGTACGAAGCGTTTTTATCTACAAAAGTGGCTATTTCCTGTATGATTGCAGTGAGCACTGAAGGACGCATTGCAGCTCTAGGACCTTCATATGTCAAGCTAGAGTCCGGCGTCATGGATTACAAAATAGGATATCAGTTGATTGTTCTATAAAACTGATGCAAATGTTCTTGACTTGTTTCCTCATTCATTTTGCGGAATCAACTCAGGCCTGAGAAAATAACCCCCTTACTTTCTCTTGGTTTGGGCGTAAGGTTTTGAACAATTCTACTTTCAAGAGAGGTCTACTGCAAAGTGTATGATCTGATTTCGTTCTTGTCTGGATTGTTTGCTATGTGGGTTTTCTTTTTTTCCTTACGAAATTAATTATAAAACAGTTTAACACATAATACGTTTTAGATAGGACACAGAATCAAATACCTTGTTAGCGACGTTTTTCTGCCACTTAGTCGAGTTTTTCACTTTATGTCTTTTTAGACCCTGGAACATTCGCAAACGAATGTAACGTAGTTTCGGTTCTTCTTGATAGACAAAGCTTATCAATTTAGGAATCTCATTCATGATTCTAGGCTAATCATCACTGACCCTCAACCTCGTGTAGGTATATTTCTTTTCAAGATGCGATTATTAATTCACGATTTTAGCTGCTAATCATTTCTTATACCGAGGTAGAACCAGCACTAGTGGATATATTTGTCTATTCTCGTTATATATTTTTGTCGGAGGACGTAAGGTTATTATAAGGAGAAGCTGAATGTGATTCCTTTCTTTAAGTGAAAGGGTTGATAGACAATTTTCTTTGGATGTATTTGTATGATTTTATATTTTAATAAGCGTGTTCCTAGACCCTGTATAATTGCAGCAGTGGCATTCACTGTAATGATTCCATTTAGCGCTTGGGGCGATTACTTACTTTTGGCACCTCAAAGGAGGGCGCTAATTCGAGACAAGGCGGTAATTAGGGACAGGGCGCTGATTAAGAAAAGGGCGCTTACCGGTATTTCTTTTCTAGAAAAAGCAGAATATGCAAAACAAAGCTTTGATGTTTATTTGAAGAGAATCAAGAAGACTGGAAAAAGGAGTTGTAGTCTCTTGATCCTTCCTGATTAGAACGACCAGACTAGCAATCGTCACACGGAAAACATGTCTTATTGACAAAACGATGGTCTCCTAGATTCGTTCATCCCACATAGATCGTACTTACCACGCTGAAGTTGCAGTTGGGTAAAAATGAGAGATGGACACGCGTGCAGGGTTGCACGCGTACGCTGCTTACGAAAATTTTAGACACGGCTACTGCGTCATTTTACTCGCTTAAACGGCGTGCTATTTCACTCGCCAGCGTTTCATTTCATTCAGCGCCGAGCTCGACACACTTCTTTGTTCTCTGTAATACGTGCGTTTGTTTTTATCGTGCAATTTGAGCGATAGAAAATTTTAATTAGGCGTGCAAACCATGAACACCGGCTCCGCTGCGAAGCCGGCGTGTCAGTTTTCTCGCTGCCGTTCGTTCACCTTATTCTCTGTTTGCCCGTGGAGGGTCACATTTATGACGAGATCATTCGTTTGAAGGAACTGTGCACCCACGTGAGCATAATATAGATGAAAGACTGAGACGAAGACCACAAGACCGACATCTCACTCGTTCGCTGTGCTCACTCGTGAGCTATCGAGTTGAACACTCGAGGAGAAATTCTTCTTGAAATGTAGACTACGTTATTAATTACAGTTCAAATTCATCATTGTAATGATATTCACACCCGTCTGTTTTGTTTTCAGCTTTTGTTGATTTCCTAGCCACAGGTGGCGTCTCTCCGTTTGAATTATTTCTCTGCATCTTAAACTACTCGAAAAATTTAGCTTCACATTCTCCTGTTCCTTTTCTGGAAAAAAATTTATCGCTGATTTTAGCATGGTCGCATATTATTGTGTTACTTTCCATGATGGAATTCTTACTGAACAATTTTTAGCCTAAAGGTTTGCATTTAATTATGATAGAGCCAAAAAGAAAATGAATTGATCCTCTTTAATTAGTCAAAAAATAGAACTGGCTCAAAACATCAGATCAATTTCATTCACAGTCATAATGTATGCATAGCTATCTGCTATCTTTCCAGCTGTCGTTTATTTGCCATGAATGATGTTTCCTTGAGTTGTATTTTTTCGCTGTGTCTTCAGTTGCCCGAGGAAAACAACTTAAGAAGTTGAATATTTTTTAGGGTTGCTTCATTTTAACTGTCTAACTTTGAACACATATCGACAAAATTGTCTTCATTTCTTTCGTCGAATATTTACCGGTTAGTGTACAAACTTTGAACCTAGTTGTTGATAGGCCTTCGATTCATTCGCGCCGGAAAAATCGAGAAAAACTTTTAATATCGAAGGAATCTTCATAAGCTGCAAAACATTTTCAATTTCCTGTTTTTTTCCCAGTCACTATCATGTACTGGATGATAACAGCAGTTTTTAAAACTACTATTGGATGGCTTGTGGAGAAAGGCAGAGAAAAAGTAGCAGAAAAACTTAAATATGGCGACGTAACAGATCAACAGCTTCGCGGCATCATCATACGTGAAATTGACGATGTGAAGTCTAAGCTGGATGGAATATCAAAGAAAGAGTTGAAAACAAGTATAAGCTCCTTTAGAGAAGGAATCGAGTACCTGTATGAAGTATTTGAAGAGACTAGGTCGAGGGATGAGCTTACTGAATATGCCACAAGGCAGCTCGCCACTGCAAAAGACAGATTCAAATTTGCTCGTCAAATGGCAACCATTGCTTTTTCAAATGAAGCATTATCAACAACTGACCGCATCTTAGCAATGCAGTACCGAGTGATGGCAACAGAATTAGAAACAATAGACCATCCCGCAGATGCTGTAGCATCATGTAGAGTGTGTATCGAAGAGCTAAACAGTCTGCCGGTGGTTCAGCAAAGTCTTCAAGAGCAGCTCAGGACAGGTATCATGGCAGTGAAGGGTTTATTTAGCAAAGAAGAACGACGGAAAGTTATTTCCGGTGTCTGTCTTATCAATCGTGTCGTCTACGATGTCACACAAACAGTATCCGTTAAAGAACCATTGCCACAATGGCCCATGATTGATACAGGAAAAGAGAAAGTTGATCTGCTGCGAGACCGGAGAGTAACAAAAATACTATGTAGACAGGGTATGGAGAACTGTAGTGTGTCATGGATACTTGGTCATTATGGCGAAGAGGAGCACAGGTTAAATAATCCGAGTGGTATCGCTACCAACTCAAGCGGGCAATATATTGTAGCAGACTGTGACAATACAATCAAGGTGTTTGACAAGAGTGGCATGTTTGTGCAACATTTCAGAGTTCCTGCTCCTCTTTTAGATGACATGGGTAAGCAGCTATCCTTTACATACCGGGTGGTTCATCTAGTCGCAGACATGAATGACAACATTTATGTGCCGGTCAAAGAAACCAGTTGTGAGGACTCATACTGGATTTCTAAGTTTAACAAAACTGCTGACGAGCATAACAGTTTTCGCGTCAGGACAATGGGCTGCGAATGCAAACTGTCAGTCAGCGATAGTGGTAAAGTGGTGGTACTGAAGAGAAACTCTGGAGAGAGTTATGGGATTGCGGATGTTTATGAGGCTAATGGTCAGTTTGTTTGCAGTTTTGGAAGACAAATCTTGAGTTACCCGTGCGACATCACTACTGTAAGTGATGGTAGAGTTATGGTGGTGGAAGGATGGCTTTCGACGCCAGGTGTTCACATATTCAGCGAACAGGGTGACCATCTAAACAGGTTTGATCTGCAAAGGTTTCTGAGATCTCCAAAAATTGCATTTCACAGGGAAAGTCAACAAGTCGTCGTGGCCGGTAATAAGGAATCAGACATCTTGTATGTAGGGATATACACTAGAGATGGTGAGTTTGTGCGAAGTACTCTTATCCATATGGGAGAGTCCTTTATTCTGAATGGGATTGCAGTGACCACCGAGGGACACATTGCAGTAGTAACCCGGATTCTAGGTTCAACAAAAAAAGTAATCATCATTTAAAAACGCACTGATTTTCCATTCTTACTTTCACGTTTAGTTTACTAACTGCTTATTATTACATAATAATAATAATAATAATAATAATAATAATAAACACAAAGCCTTTATTTTTCACAGGGCATGATGTAGCTTGAGACAAAAGTTTTATGCCTAGATTATAATAAAGTTCGGATATAACGCGCACTGTTATTGGTTGAAAGAGCGTGCTCTATGAGAGTATAGAGCATAGAGCTGAGCTAAAGCTGTCACGCCATCTGCCAAACTGTACTATGTTCGAGCTTTTCCGGGACTTCTTTTTAGCTTTTTTCCGATAATTGAAAGTGAAATTTCGGAACTGAAGCGAGCCGACAAGTAGCAACAGAAGAATCAAACAAAGGTTTATAAACATACCAGGCGCTGTAATTTACGTTATTAAAACGTGAGCAGATACGAAAATCCTCAAGGGAAAAACAAAATAGGCATTCGAGGTTTTAAAGATTGATTCACGCTCAGTTAGATTGCACGCTTACGTACGGAAATAAAAATCAAACACAGCTTACACTCATATAGTATATAAAGTTCAGTGTTCGAAAACAAAACAGAAATGATGAAAAATATAACCAAACTGGCATAACTGTTAAAATTCATTCTAATCATGACGGTGTCTGAGCGAATATGATCATGCTGAAGTCCATCGCGGCTCGCTCATCATGGCGATCTCCGGTCATCACAGCAAGCCTCAGAAACTACATCGGCCGCTCTTCGAGTGAAAAAATAAGAGCTTGCTCTGATATCCTTTCCGATGCGTTGTGTGGAAAGTCACATCTGTCATTGCAGCCGAGTTTTGCGACGCTGTCATCCCGAGCGATCTTCATGTTCCGGTGAATTTGGCTGTCGTTCATTCAAAAAACACTCGCCCTGAACAGTTTGTTTTCTACCTTGTCATATGAAAAAACTCGCGTGTTTTTATGAGCCATAATTCGGCTGAAGTTCACTGAACATTTCACTTCAAGATTCTGTATTAGAGCCTTAAAAACTTCAAGCAAAAGTGTTAAATTCGACCTACCGAACTATTTTAGTTTGTAAACTATCGCAGAAGGTGAACTTTGATGGTTTTTTAACTTTGATGGTTTGACACTTTTGACAGCTTTAGTCTTGTACAGCCAATCAGATTATTTGAATCATTCTAACAGGGATTCTGATTGGCTTATTGTAGTGTGCTTTATGAGAGTATAGAGCATGCTGATGACACTGTTGTTCGCTTTGGAAATAAAGTTTGTTTTGAAAATTGAAAGTAATGCTCGGGGAATTTAATGGATTCTTTATTATAAAACAAATAGAGAAGCCTTGGCTGTGCTCTGTTCTGTTATAAAGCACTTAGGAAGCGGCTAGAGCACTCAAGAAGTGGGGAGAAACACTCGACTACGTCTCGTGTTTCTCCCTACACTTCTTTCGTTAAATGAAAGCCTTTATAGCCTCAATTTATTAACTTTTGAAGCGTTGAAATTTAATCGAACAAATGTGATGCAGTTTAGAAAATTTTCTTGGAAAATAAGTACTACATCATTGATCATGTAGGAACTTTATTGACGGCTCCAGGCTTAGCTAGAGATATGATGCTTATTTGGCAATCAACCTAATGGTCCTCACTTCTTTAGATGTATTAATAAAATTGCACATTGCAACTGCCGTATATTTCCTTGTAATGCGAGGAAATACTTTTTTATGTCATGGCAAGGTGACACATCTGACACAGCAATAAGCTGAGATATTTGTCTATTCTCATTACCTGTTTACTGGATAATGTATGGATATTGTAAGGAGAAGTTGAATGCGATTCTCTTGTGTGTGTGAAAGGGCTTGATATCCAGTCTCTCTCACATGTGTGTGCGTCATTTTATATTTTAATCATGGTGCTCCTATCTTTCGATAATTTCAAAACTAGCCTTTATCCGTCTTTTAAGCATAATGCGTGGATAGTTACTGCTGTGATAGGCCTAACGTTTGCTTAAGTAGTTTTGAATGCTTGTGCTTTTCATGTCGCATGTTTCATTAATCTAATGAAGTATTTAGCTGTCGCTTCTTGCGTGACAATTTTGAGGCAAGACCAATTTCTGCAGTGAACTTTGTCGCGTGACAAATCTAGATGATAAAAAATTAGTAGAAAGATCGATCCTTAGAGATCAATTAAACTTGTCAGTAAAGACTAATTATTTCATAGCTGGCTAATCAATGTTAGGGGAAAAATTCATGTGTTTTAGTTCGTGTAATGTTAGTTCAAGTTTTGTTTGAATTCAATTTTTATTTTTCAAGTTTCAATTTATTTCTTGTATTCTGTTTGTTCTTTGACTCGACCGGTCGAGCTATAAAGAACGATGAACAAATTGCTCCATTCAAATTGTTGTTACCATTGTGTAAATTATAGCCAAAAATTGAATTGTTGACGTATCATAAAATGATATACTTAGGGTTTTTCGTGGGTTTTTGGGCATATATATTCGCTAATTTTCCATATGTATTCGTATACTTTCATATTTAAAATATTCGGGTTCATTCGGGTTTTCCTTCTAGTAAGTTAAAAAAAATAATTAAATAAAAAAAAATACTTAAAAAGCCACAGCAGTTTTTGAGTAGTAAACTAAGAAATTTTTGCTTTGTTCTTGCTTTCATTGTATACCTGTGTATTGGTACTTTTGTTGTTCATTACTAGTGAAATATTAAGTAAATATAAGTGTTAATGGTATTTTTGGAAAAATTGATTCTCACGGTAGTTAGCAGCTGAGTTTATACTCGTAATATTAATTTCCTTTCATACGATAATTTCCACACCAACCTTACATAGATAAGCAGAAATTTTTAATTACTTTTCCGCTTTTATTTCCTAAGCTGCTCTTCTTTAATTAGATAGGTATATTTTCTATGCCAGAGCTTGTTGTATCCGTCCTTTAAATTTTGAAATTCTTTTCATCGTAGAAACAGCGGGAACATTTAAGTAGTTTTCGTTTAACTTCAAGGAGACATTTTCTGCTTCTTTGTGTCCCTGTTCAAATATTGTAATTTGTGTTACAATAGCACCTCACACCAGTTAGTTTTTAAACAAGTACCTTGTACAGCTTTTCACTACAATTAGTTTAGCTTTTACTGTGGCATGATTTATGTTAGAGTGCTCTTCGAATAAAGTCTACTGTGGAATCAAAACGCTGTCTCATCCTTGACGTCCGTAGAAGTTCGCTCGAAGTAGATCTCAGTGTACTAGGAAATCGTGAGGAGTTTCTGCTCTCGCAAGCCGAGTGATCTCTACCGAGTTATTTCCCCCGTTTTGTACGTTTTCCGCAAAGTCCAGTTTATTGCGCGAAAACCTATCGTCACAAATTCCACGATTCATTCGCTTATTACAAAATGTCTCTCATTTTCCTGCAATTTGCTTGATTTCTTCAAACAAGTCCTGAAATCCGATTGGTTGTTGTGTTTTAGTAAAGCGGTCTTATTGCCTGGGATAAAGATGCGATTTGTGGATATATCACACTGGTCACGGAAAGTTGATCACATTGCAAGGATCACATGTGATTTTTAAAGAAATGTTGTAAAGGAATTTATTCCCCGAAATATCGCATCGAAAACACAATAGTACAGTCAATACTATCGTTTCACTCAGTAAAGGTGGCGACATTTTTGCGCAATTACGCAGAATATTTAAAAACCAGATAATTTGGTTTTATCAGTAGAGTTGATAATGTAAATTGGCTGCTGAAAAGAGTCTCTAAGGCAAAGGCAGTTAGTCCTTGGTAAGAGCGTCAGTTGATAGAACCAAATTATCTTGTAAATACCCCATCGACACAGCATCACCATTACCCCTTTTATTCATGTGTTATTCAATGCATGCAGTACTGGGCGGACTGTCTTTCATGTACTGGCTTCTAAGGAACATTCGAGTTACAACTTACGATCGCAACTCCGTTATAACTCGCGATCCCAACAAAAATACCCTATGTGCACGACATGTGCACGAAAACAGATGGACACAAAACGGGATCAACACCGAATCCGAGCGGAGAAACAATCCGCACTTATCCCCATCAAAGTCAAGTATAAGTCGGCTATAGATTCCGTGAAGAAGACTTAATTTTGCTGTATAAGCTTGCACATAGTGCGCTTTTGTGCTTTCTTGGATGGCAAGAAAGACTTTCCTTTCCTTGTACTGATTCTAGTGCTTTCGACATGTCTGAAATGTTTTTATCGAGAACCAGGTCACCCTCTTCTGCTTGACGTCACAAGTTGGATGGTGGTTGTTAACAGCATGGACAAGATCAATTCTTTTTATACCATTTTACTTCTTTTTTTCATTTTTTCTTCCTTTTTTCATCCGAAGGCTTGGCAGGTAAACCATTTTGGAGACTTGAGTGTCTCGCTTATTCCTTTTTGTATCTCGATGGACTTATTTCGCAATATATGTGTCGAAACTTTTCCCCTATATGCATCAGAGTTTAACGAACGATTCTTCACTGTCGTTTTTATTCGTTAAAATACTCGGGTTATATTATGTGTTTCACCATGAAATGCAGTGTTTTTCATTCGTTATCAATTCCTTTACAGTGATATCAATTAGCCTTTTCTATGGAAATTGTTTTTCCATTTAGTACATAAATAGCTAATAACAGAGAGAATATGGTAAAAGTTGTGTCAATCATGGAAATTGGATTTACAAGCATTAAGAAGTACGTACTGTTATATACATCTGTTCAATATCATGAGGAAATTCGGTGTTGGGAAATTATGAATATAAAAATAACTATTTGTTAGGTATCATCATCTCAACAATACCTTTATTTCGTTATTGCATTTCTCTGAAGCCTTTGCCATAAATATTTCTGCTCTAGATCTGCAAACAGAACTTCGATAGAGTGATGATTTTTTTAAACGTTATACTCACGTTTACTCTAAACCCACACGGGTTAAAATGTCTCATGAAAATTACATCTATTCTCACTTTTCGCTCTTTGTATACGTAAAATATGAACATG